GACCCCAATAAACTGAATGCATAGAATATATTTGTCGTATACTTAAATGGTTTTCATTTTTGTCGAGCATGATAGCATCTGATGCACTCCTAAAGGATACTCAACAAATTCAACGGCACTCTTGGCGATCATTGCCTCCCCTTTGGTCTCCACAAAAGAAGAGATGACGTAACTCTTGTTTTTCTCTGTGAAGGGAGAAGAAAATGACACGTTACCAAGGTTACATCGAGTTGTACCTGTTTTGTTTGAGTTTAGGTTAAATTTGTTGTTTGCAGACATACTTCTGGCATTTTCAAAGGAGATGAATTTGTTGGGCTGGATGTAGTTGACTATGGATGACATGGCCTCATATGCTGTTACTTCTTGTCCAGCTGTGCCCTGCGGGACGTCAAAAGGAGGTTAACTTATATTTGGACTCTCCTGGCTGGTACAAATGATGTAAAACAAGTATTTACCTCATCTGATGTCTTCATTTTCTCCTCATCCTGTTCCTCTGTGTCTTCTTGCTCCTCATTTTCCTCCACAGTTGCTTCCGGTTCTGGTGAAACACATAAAAACAGTGTCAGTGACACCTGGAAATAAAATCACACGTCTAAATCTGGAGTATAACTGAATTTGCCTTGTGGTTTTTCATTTTCATCTTGATTCTCCGGGGTGGTTGCTGCTGGGTTGGCCTCATCCTGGGAAGTGGCGTTCGGGGCCTGGGCATTCGTAGCTGCGGCTGCGGTCTGGTCAGCGGCTGCTGCGGCAGTTTTCTTATTCTGGGCCGGTTTCTCATGGCTGCCCTTCTTGTTCTTGATGAGGATCTTACCCAGGAGCTCAGACGGGCTGGGGATCTGCTGGCCCGGCTTCAGCTGAATGTTAGAGACACAAACAAGAAGTTCAAACAATGACAAAATCGATTATATTCAGAAAACATCAAACTTATACTCTTACTTTTGTTTCAGAGGGATTTACATCAAAGTTGTTTAATGTTCAAAGTGTCATTGCTAAATTTAATCAACTTAGTCTGTTTTTTGTTTGGCTGTTGAGCATGAAACAAATGTAGTCTGTCATTAAAGGAAAGCTGTTTTGAGTGGAAAGCAATGGCCCTCATTTATTAACATTGCATATGCACAAATACGTGTAATTTAAACACAAAAGTTAAATAAAAAATGAAATGAATGGCTGTTATTGACAGGTTAACTTAAAAAGACATTCACATAGTGGACTATATGGTATAGCCATACTCCTATTACATCTTCCTATTTCTTTGCTATGCAGTTTTTATTTATTATCCTGGGCTGTGTTTTGGAGAGACTGTTTAGTATTTTAATTAACAGTAAAATACAATAAAACTGTTATTATTATTATTAATTTATTTACCTTTTTTTATTTTTGCCTTTTGCTCAATTTTCAAAAACATACTCCTCCAAATTTTCAGAATTACAATTAAATTAAAAAAAAAAAAGAAAACAAAAAAGAATACAAAATGGTAAATGGAAAGGTGCAGACTTTAACCTTTTTCTTTTACACATAATCAACAATAATAGCTATTATTTTAATAGTAGTAATAGTAGAAGAATTTGTTTTAAAAGCTTGTGTTTAATTTTCCTAAGACAGTCAGGTCATCATGTGATCATATGCATGGCCACAGGGACTGCTTGACCTTCTAAAAGAAAAAAGCATTCAGGCATTTGGATGCATCGAAAACCTGAATGCATCCTCTACAATAATTTAGCCCAAATACCATCATGAAAGCTGCCTTTATTGTCTGCACACTGATAAAAAGCCGGATGGTCACTCTCCCATTTAGCTTGTTGCCTTTACTTAAACCTTTTTAAAAAAAGCAAAAAAACAAACAAACAAACAAACATAAAATTAACAACATATAAAATAAACATATTTTTTTTCATACTTCAAAAATTGAGGCCTGGATTCAAACTGTCTGCTGACCTCCTTTCTAAAACACTGGTTTTGTCCCTAATACCATCTAAGATAGTTAAACAGACACAGCCTCAGGAATATAAACACATGCAGGCCTAAGAGGAGCTGACAGACTTTGTTTCTGGGAATCTGAGAGGTTCTTACAGCAGATACAAGACAGAGGACAACAAACACACCAGTGAAACTTGAACTTTGCCATTTATTGCCTTCATGTCGTTGTGATTAAATAGCGAAACTCATCCGAGTCACCCAGCGTAGCGTGATAGCATCTAAACTTTATCTGTTATTTTGACAGCTGGCTGTGCTGCAGCAGTGTACTCACTCACAGGGTATTTGTCCAGTGGCTCTGTTAACAGGGCATCACCAAATATGGTTTTGCAGTAGTTGGCCATCTTCTCCTGCTGTTTCACCCTGGAAGAAATCACATTAATGCCTGTTATTATTCGTGATACGTGCATCAGAACAGCAGCATTAATGGCATGTTATGACACGGCTTTATTTAAAGCTCGGCTCTTACGAGTCAACGTGGTTCTCGAAGGAGAGGATAACGGGGTACTGTGAGGTCTTGAAGGCGCTCTCTGCAATAGCCTCTATCACGTCCTGTCAAGTGTCACAAAAAGAGGCCTTTTAGTTGTTATTTTATAAAAGTGGATTTTTACTTTTGGACTTAAATTTAAAGAAATGAAACTGGCAATAGCACATTAGAAAACTTCAAGAAGTTAATGAGATGCAGAGCAAAAAAGAAACAAGCTCACTAAAATAAAAATTATGAAAACATGAACATTGTGTCAAACTGCAGAGGTGTTTCTTGCAGAGGCTGTGATGTTGCTGAACTGAACCTGGGCGTTGTGCCTCGGCCTGGGGCTGTTCATCTCCTGCTGCCCTTATATGGAAGTGTTGAGTGTAAGAGAATGGCCTATCAGTGTGTTTGTGTGTTACTGTGTACTTACACTTTCGTGTTTCGAATGTGCTCTTCAGCATGAATTAAAGATCATTTTGAGCAGCTTTTTGGTGTGCAAGAAGCTTAGATGTTGCACATTCAAGATGTGCTGGCAGGAAAATGGTGACGGTCATTTACTTGGACTCAGCCGTCGCTTTCTAATCACAATTTTTAACACCAAAAAAATAAATACTAGAAATTTGAATATTAAATTTGTTTATCGTTACCATTCTTTCCTTTCTGTAAAGGCTGCAAAATATTAGAGTGGACCCTTTACGTTTTTCCTTATCTTCTATACTATATAGAAGACAAGAAAAGATAATAATGTAGGTATACTTAACTACATCAGCTCTATGCACTGGTGGATGGTCATTAGTTGTGGCCAAAAAATTCCAGTAACCCCAAAACTAACATTTCAGCACGACATTAAAAAGGTGGGAATATTCCTAATATGGAAATGTGAACAGTTGCAGAGGAAAAATTTCAAATACTTGGAGGGTGGGAGACTGAGGGCACATGGGTATGTTCAACAACCTTGAACAGGATCTCAGTGGTCATGGTGAAGCCATGAGTAATGATGGGCTCTTCATCTGGAGGTTTACCCTTCCAGCAGTCCAGCTCCAGGCAGCGGCAGCCGGCGAGCAGACACTGGCGGTACATCTCTGGGGAGGACACGCCCGAGAACTGACCAGCTGCACAGGGAGAGAAAAATGAAAAATAAGGCACATTGTTAAGCAGCATCTTAAAGAAATCATATCCATTTCTCTCTTTTTTCTGACCTGTTAGGTATGTGTTGTGTGACGACTTGACGAAGTAGTGAGGTATGGGTTGGGTCATGTCTTGAGACTTGGCCAGACTGTCTTGCATGACCACTGATGTCTCTGGACCCATCAAGTAGAATAAAAGACCTTCTGGAGAAATCAAACCTGGAGATGGGAACAAGAGACCATTTGAAGCAAAAACATAAGGAGGGTGATTGTGCCCATTATTCCATCCTCAGCATAGCAAAGTGACCACCGCTGAATCTCACCTCTGTTAGAATTATTGGACAGGGGCTCATACTTGTCAATCAGTGCCTTGATCTGATCTTGCCGGAGACGCGGAAACAGTTCCTCATTCAGCCGAGAGTCTCTCTGCTTCTCGTTGAGGAACTTGGTGAAATTCTCCTTCGTCATGGTGGGTTTGGTGGAGCTGGAGGGCGGGGCACAGCGAGACAATCACATCTTGGACTTGCACTTACTTCAGGCTGCAGTGTTTTGCCTGAATATTATTACCTTTGTTTCTGATATTCTTTATTACTTGCTGTATGGGTTTGGATACATGCGTGCGTATGTGCAACTAATTTATGCAACTTATGATTGCACTGCTGTCCTTCTTGGCCAGGACACTCTCTTAAAACAGATTTTTTTCATGATTAAATACAAGTAAATAAATAAATAAAAGCATCAGCGATGCCCATAAGGTTCCTCATCCCCATCACGGCCAATTTCCTGCCATTTTAGCTCAGGCAAGGCTGCTGAGGCACGAGCTGGAGCACAGACTGGCAGTGCAAGACCAGCATATTACATGAGGCACCTCTAACTTTAGTTTGTCAAACTAGGACAATTTTTTGCTTCATACATTTTGAACAGACAATGACATCATTTTTGAAACGAGTAGATTTAAACACCAGATGAAGAAGGTTTACCACTAACCATTAAATTTATTATTATTTATTTATTTTTTGCTTGACAATTTGTGGAAGTTTCAAAACGTAAATGCAATAACAAACTAATTATGAATAAAGCATAACTACAGCTACAGTAGGTGTGTGATATTCAGGCTGTACAATGATCAGTTAAGCACACTTCTACAGGTTACTCACTAGGAAGTGAAGATCTCATAGATCTCAGGCCGAGGACAGAGGTGTGTCATAAAGCTCCTGAAGGCAGTCTCAGTGAAAACATCAGGCTTAATGGTGTCATACTGAAGAACAAAACAAATGTGCAGACGGGTTGTCAGAAAACCGCAAACTGTTTTCATTAAGTTAGATAAGAATAAAGTCCAAATTTAAAATGTATTTCCACTCGAAAGGAGATTTATTTTCTGACCTTTCCTTTGGGGAGCTGTGCTGCTGCCAAAGCACTTTCTACCCTCTTCTTATCCGCAGGGAACATCTTGTAAATACTGAAAAAACATAGTGAACAACTGAGTAGGAAACACAGGTATCTGCTGAACAAATGAACCAGTATGTGGTTGTCCTGAAACTTACTGTTTCACTGGGATCTTCCCATCTTTGTTGGTCTGAAGAGAAAGCCGGACATATCTAAGATTTAATAGTATTTCCATTAGAATTCCCAGAGCACGTGTTATCCAGCGCATGATGTGATTGCATGGTATTATGTTCCCTCATCATCTAGAAGCTGTAGATTACGTGATGATGTTCACTTACATTTTATCCAGGAAGACCTGCCTGCACGCGTTGTTTCTTGCAGCGTTGTAGGTGATCGCAAGAATGTCGTCCGCCCAGTTCTAATGTGCATTTTTTTTAAATTCACAAAAATAAACAGAGGTGCTGCATGAAATTCGGTGTCTGCATGAGTTTGGCTTAAAAGGTCATAAGCGTCTATGCACAAGCTCACCACTAGAGGGTGTTGATGCAGAGTTAGGTTAGGAAATGAGAGCAGTGAATGTTGTATTTGAACAAAGCACTATTGAGATTTCATTACAGCAGATTAAATCTGGATGTTGGAGTCACAGAGTCTAATTTAGACTGAAAGGGAGGGGTCGGAGGGGTTGGGAGGGAGAAGAAGCAAAGGCTCCAGTGGTATAAGGGCTAGAGGCCTTTGGCTGTGTTTGAACAGTCAAAAGGGAACAGCTACTACACAGATACAGCGGTTTATTACCTGTGTCACTTTTTCCTTTGAGGCAAAGAAGTTATGATAGGTCAGGTTCACCGTGTCTGGACCCGAGACGATAGTCAGGGTTTTGGCGAGATGGTTGCTGTCCGGGAAATCCAAATTAAACACATTTCGGACCTTTGGGTGCTGTGGACAAATAAAATGTATTATTTCATGTTTTAGCTGACTAAACAAATCTAAATCTGCAGCACTTTGCTGTCTGCACAGATTGGACACCTGAAAGGTGCTTCGACACATGCAAATATGCTGACCAGCATATGCAAACATATGCACAACACACTGAGAGTCGCGCACTTGCTTATATATACGCACACACAAGGCGGTCATGAAGAGCACAAGCACACATGTGCTGCCTTCCTGTGTATGATGCTTTACAATCACCTCTCTATGCACGCCTGACGTCAGCATTGGAGCAGCTTTCCCAAAAAGTCCTAAGGGACCAAAAGATGAGGATGTGCTTTCAGCAGCACCCCATCTGTGATGATGCATTCTCCCTAAGGAGAACAGATTTTTCAGATTTCCCTCCCGTAAGGGATGATGACAGCTGCATAATGGAGCTCTCTGCGGAGGCCAGCGAGGAGTGGGAAAAGAGACGAAACTACAGCTGACAGCTTTGGAGCTCACTCGAAACTCGCTCACAGAAATCTCCCGCCATGACTCAGCCTGTCGTAGGGTGTGTGTTTATGTTTGTTTGCGTGCCAGTGCATCTGTGTGTTTCTGTGGAGGAGTAGCCTGGGTTCATGCGTCCACGGCGCTTTTTTTTCTCTCTTTGCAATGCAAATATGTCTGTCAATATTAATGGACAAACAAAGGACTCGACAGATATATTTGCATGCTTGGAGAGATTCCTCCACACAGAGCACAATCATTAAGCTCAATTAAATCAAAGTGAACGCCACAAATTAAATAATACAAATGGACTTACTTTGGGAAGTTTTGCATATTTTCCTGTTCTGGTATCTCTGATGGTAGCAACATCCAGGAATGTTGTCTCCTAGAAACAAGAGACAAGAAATCATAGTAGGCACCATTCCAGATATGGATTAGATACAACTCACCCTTTAGCAAAGTAGAAAAAAAACACGTTGCCCATCAGTAAAATAAGTGAGTTAGTAAACAAGCTATTTAAGGCTGGGAATATTGTAGGGCTGTTTTAACCTATAAATGAGTAAATAAATGCCAAGTTCATTCTGATATTTTTACAAAGTAGGGATAGCTTGTTGTTTCCTGTTCACTTTCAACAGACAATACATCTGTAATAGCAGCAGTGATGGGGTGGTCATGAAACATGGTTACTTAACAATATTGTGTGTTGATCATGAGGAGGGTCAGCGTGCCAGAGGTAGATATTACATTTTTCTTCTGTTATTACCCGTAAACAAATTAGATGGTTTTTGGGGAAACTGTGACATTTAGCTAAGCACGTTTCCCAGTATTATAGCTAATACTGGTGTAATTACAGAATTATTACTTGGTAATGACTAAATCTCTGTTATTACTCTGTTATTGCTACTTAAGGATTTTTGTTTGCTTGTTGAATGTATTCTCTTATTTATTATATTTTGTATTATATTTTCCTGACTCTATTTATTTTTTTCCTTTTTCCATTTTGTTTTGTTTTCATCTGAGGCGCATCATCAGGGGGAACATTTGAGAAGCTATTATGAAAGATATCACAAGACAAAATGAAGAACATGTAGACATCACAGTCACAATAACAATATGATTTCCTATATCACTGCCTCCTGCTTTTAGTTGTGGTGACCAGTATGACCAAATTAAGAAAAAGAAAGCAAAGACATTTCTTTTATATTATTTTGTTTTTTGAGCACCTGTAATTTTTTCAGCCAACATTTGCTTTTTACACCTATTTTATCTTAAAATTTAGTTTTGGTTAACTGTGGTAGCACATTTAAAGAAGACCTTGCCTGTTTAGTGAGAAGAGAAAGATAGATGAAGAGTAAACACAGCTAGACACCTTCATTGAGTGCATCACAGTCCAGCTGCACAGCACAGTAGGACAGTGAGCCCACATCAGCACTGATCGATAATCTGTACAGACTGCTGAGGCCAGAAGGTGGTGAATGATGCGCTTACATATCTCACACCTTTAGCAGATCCTAATCACATATATTTTACCCACACATCAGAATGCTGCTGGCTTTTCCCCACCTTGCTTTGGTTAATCCAGTAGACGAAAAACCCTTTTGGATCCATCTTCATGGTGACAGGAACGGTTTTGGTTGAGTCCTTGATAGAGACAAATTTATTCAGTACTTCTTGTATCGAGCTGATTGACAACAGTAGTCATCTAAGGGTAGTGTGCATCGTAAGATGAAGACCGTACAACATTATAGAGGAATAATCTTTGACGTGGTTCTGGTAATTGTTTGAGATGGAACCCGTGAAACAGAGATGCTTTTTGGCGATGTGCCGATACTGAACCTGGTATTTAAACTGCATTTGTAGCTATATTTAAGTTATTAGATAAGAAATTAATGATTAGTGTTTTAAAAACAGATGAAAACCATGTAATTTCACAGAGAAGGCTGTATTGCTCACAGGAGAATGAAAATAAGCAACACTTACTGATGTATATTTAAACTCCTAATCACTCTGGTTAATATTCAAGAATCAACAGCTTAATTTTTTTCAATATTCACTCACCTCTGACCACTTGGTAAACCTTTCTCCTTTGACCAGGTAGTCTTTGATCTCTGGAGGATCCAGAAAGTATCTTTTCTTATTCATTTTGTCCTTCTAGAGTGGACTTTGTTTCAGTTAAATAGCCTATTATTGCTAAAATATATCCACTATCTGATTCTCCACCATGGTCAGAACTATTAACCAGCTTATTCCAACACTAGCAACCAAAAGATGCACTAAACTGGAACTCTGCTGACCTGCCTGTGTCCAGGACGCACCCAAGAAAATATGCATTGCAAATTAAGATGAAAAAAAAGAAAAGAAAAAAACAGGACTGAAGGTTAATCTGTTGCCCATAAAATTACAGTTTATATATGTAAGATAAAGGTTACATAAGTATATATTCTAACTGTCATTCACTTAAAGTAAAAGCATTCACGTGTTTATAAAATAAAAAGATAAAATAATAAAAGGCAGAAATTAGATATTTAAAACTCTTTTTTTAACATACAGCTCCCCCATTAACTGCTGCTGTGACAACAATAACTGAAATTGCTTTTTACTGAGGAAATAGTTCCTTTAAAAAGTGATAACAGGGTAATCCTCTGGGTTCTAAAAAGTGACAACGTTTTTAAGCCCCAAATGAATTCATAAGTGGCATAATGGCAAGACACAACTGGAGATAATGAGGATTTGCTTTTCTTTTAGCTTCCATGAATTGACACTTGGTTTGTTAATGAGTTCCTTCTTTACACAATGATTTTGAGTTAGCATTATTTATATCAGCATATCATATTATGTATGCCTCAAACTATAGTTGAAGCAGCATCTGTTGCACTAAGTGTTTGATTATTTCTGCTATATGTTGTGAATAAATGCCTGATCTGATCACATACTAGTGCTTAATTTTGCATTATTGGCTAAATATTTTATGAAATTGTGACCTGTCAGGGGTCACAGTGTCATTTATTACTCAGGGCAGTGCTGTTTCAACAAAAGATGCCAGGCCATTTGGATAACATTCAAATAAACCTTCAGACAGCGCAATATCTGATGCAAACAGTCAGCCACTGAAGAACCAAAGAAGTGACTTCTGGTGAACCAACCACAGGATCAGTTTATACTGGTGATTTTAATGGAGAAATAAAACCTTTTAATGAAAAACTGCTACACACAACCTTATCAGACTCACATCACAGCTGGCCACCTCGCTCCCATACCCTACCATACCATAAAACATTGCAATGAAAGCAGTCATTAGAAACAACCCCCATTAGATGTTTGTTAGAGCAGGGCTTGTCACACCCGTCACGTGTAGAAACCTGTGCTGACGCTCATCCTTAGAAATGGATTGGCTGTTGCAAAACAAGTCATTTTCACCTCTGCAGCCAAGCCACTATAATGTAGGTCATTTTTCCACTTTGTATCAATGTAACAAAAATGTAATATTAACTGTAAACTTAGCATGACACATAATAGTCAACCACCTCAAGGTGCTTTATAAGTTAAAGACCCTAAAACAATAGAGAAACCCCCTCTGTTGGTCTTCCTTGGTCTCTTGTGTTCTGGGGGCCTCTGGATGTCTGGAGTTTTGATCTCCTCCATACCTGCTTCATGCCCTGGAGGACGGGGCTGTGGCCCCCCCACACCCTCTAGCAGATCATTACATGAAGGAACCTTTTAAAAAAACAAGCGTGTCCATGCTCACAGGTGTACACACGGGTGATCACACCCACAAACTACACCCTTTTTGGCTGTACCTCAAAGCACACTGTGTTCTGTTGATCTTATGTGCTGCACAATAATGTTTAATATTTAGTATTTACTGTCATATTCCCATATATCATTGTGATGTTGTTTATTCTGTTGCTCTTTTTTTTCTTCTGCTTGTTTTCTCTTTTTTCTTTCTCAACAGGTGATCGATACATGTATTTTACAATACTTCTGATGGCAAAAGAGCCAAACGGGACAGGCAAAAAAAAAGAGAAACCCCATCAATCAAACAACCCTCTGGGGGTTGCTAGTGTTAAGCAAGCACTTGGTGACTCCCTTTTAACAGGAAGAAACCTCTAGCAGAACCAGGCTCAGGGAGGGGCACCTATTTGCTGTGACCAATTGGAGCCGATGGCTAGCACCACGTTGGACTTCATTTTGCTTTTAAAGTGTCTTTAATTGTTTGTGGCATATATTCAACACAGTGCTGCAGAGATGAAACATTTCTCAGAGATTTTAGTCCATGTTGACGTAGCAGCATCACACGGGTGCTGCAGATTTACTGGCTGCACATCCATGATGCAAATCTTCCTCCACAACATACCAAAGATACTGACTGAGCTTTGGACTGAATGTGGAGGCCATTTGAATGACCTCACTGTCATGTTTAGGAAACCAGTTTGAGATGACCTGAGCTTTGTGACATTTATCCTGCTAGAAAGCAGCCATTAAAAGATGGGAACACTGTGGTCATAAAGAGATGGATGATGGTACTCAGGTAGGCTGTGACATTTAAACAACATTTGGTCCAAAGAGGCCCAAAGTGTGCCAAGAAAATATTTCCCCGATTGCCCCACACAATTTCACCACCAACAACCTGAACTATTAATAAAAGGCAAGGTGGAGTCATGCTTTCATGCTTCATGTTCCTGCTGTTTAGTCCAAATTCTGATCCTATTTTGCAGCAAATAAAGACTTAAAAAAATATTCTATTGTCCAATTGTGATGAGTCCATGCAAACAATTTCCTGTTACTGAGGTGCTCCTGTAGACCATCTGCTTCAAGGTCCAATGTATGACGAAGTGGTTACTTGAATTGTCACTGCTTTCCTATCAGCTCAAACCACTTTCCTCTGATCTCTGGCATCAACGAGGCATTTCCACGCCGAAAGATGGCCTTTTGGGAAAATCCCAGATCAGCAGCTCCTCAAACACTCACAGCAGCCTGTGTGGCACAAACAACCACGCCAGTTGAAGCTATGCCATCCTCGTTCAGCATGTGGACCACCTGCACATGCCCAAATACACCGAGTGATTGCCTGATTAGATATTTGTGCTAATTAGCAGTTGGCCGGATGTACTTAAGGTGTCCAGTGAGTGTATAATAAACAGAAGGTACTTGTTATATAATGTGTTCATTTATTTGTTTTTAACTGCTGTGCGATTTATGCTGAAAACTGGATTTCACGCGCTTGTTAAATCTGTCGCTTCACCTTTTTCACCTTCCCGGAGGACACGAGCGATGACAAATTCGGGTCGCTGTCCATTGTGCTGAAAAGGCGCGTTGTGGAGCAGCCAACAGGTAGGAAACATCATAAGCGGCATGAAAGCCACTCGTTGTGTATGGGTCTGGCTACGAGTTTAACACGTGATTACGTAAGACATCAACATAAATGAAGCCCCCCCCTCTCTGATTGCTCGGAGCACATGGACTACCATCCTTTCCACTCGGGTGAACGCAGTGAAGCTAAAACACACGGTTGACCGTGTTTATCCCCTCCGCGACATCCTGTTCTCCGTGTGCACTTCTCGCGTGCTGATGTCGTTTTTCTTTTTGTTTTTGTTTTTTTACAGTTTCTTCTCGGGTTGCTGCACAGCTGCTGCTTCTTTAAGAACCACCACCCGCCCCCTCTCCTGTATTTTTAGCTGAGCCAGCCACTTCATTTGCTGGATAAGACAGACAGTTGTGTACCGTATGATCTCACTTAATCGTTTTAATAAATGACATCAAATAGTATACTGCGGATTCGCCGTGGGCCTGCGGCCAGCTGTTCCTTGGAAACCTCGCACAGGAGGAGGAGGAGGAGGAGGGGGGACATTTGTCCCGCCGCTGTCGGATTCTGAAACGCGCAGTCAGTCAGCCTGTGGATGCTTGATGTCCATTATGAAACGCAGTGCTGCGCTGGCTGCACAATATGAGGCGCAGTTCCTCTGAGATCAAATGAATTACGGGAAATCTGTTTAGGTGCAACATCTTCCTGCGGCGCGGACGGTTCAAGGTGGTCCAGCATCTTCCCTCTGAGCCTCCTGCTTCCTCTTCTCTTGGACTGTGGATAACATAAAGCCTTCAAGACGGAGGGGGTGGTGGAGCATCGAGGAAAAAACAGGGGGAATATGAGAGAGCGGGACTTCATGCCCAATATGGAGAGGGGCAAACCTGCTACTTATACGGGGGACAAAAAGGCTAAGATGGCTGCTAAGACTAACAAGAAGTGGGTGAGACTAGCCACTGTTTTTGCATATGTGTTGTCTGTGTCTTTAGCAGCCATTATCCTGGCAATTTACTATAGCCTGATCTGGAAGCCAACCAGCGCATCCTCTTCTGGTGGGAAGCTGGTGGTGCCCACTCCGACTGCAAATATCTCAACTAACATCTCCACAAACGACAACATGACAGAGTGGAACTCTACGCAAACACGGCTGTTATCTCTCAACCAGACCAGGCAGGGCACAACCCCGCACGGTCCGGCGATTCAGTGGGGTGACAGAGCGGAGAGAGTGGCGGTTTCCCCGCGGAGTGCGGGAGCAGAAATTGCGCACTCGCAACAGGACGAAGGACTCTACGCGTCTTCCCACGGTCACACGAGCGCGGGGAGGTCGGGAGCTTTGGGTACAGAGACGCAAGGGTCTTCTCAACCCCGCGTGAGCCACTACATCCCGTCGAGCACCGCGAGGGAGTCTGTCGCTGAGGACAAGGGGGAGAGGGAGGCGCGCGGGGTGACAGAAAAGCGCGAGCCCGAAGACGCTATCACTCTTCCTCCGACCTGAACGGTGAGCCGAGGTGGCCATGGAAGAGACTGGTCGGTCCTAATCCCCATCACCACACCACCCTTAGGACCCCCCATATTTAAAACAGCTACCCCCACCCCCAAAAAGGAGTGGTTTACATCCTCAGTACCGCAGGTCGGATAACTCACGTCTTTCAAGTGAATTTGCAGAGCCCCGTATGGATACTGAACTGCACATGTTAACAGACATCTTTCTTTTATTACCGAGAAAAGAGGAGAGCTCCCCCGTGGACCCTGTACCCCCTTAACTATGCGTTTCCTTTTTCTTTTGTTTTAGGCCATCTGTATGCCTTAAATCAGTGTGTGTCTACTTTACCTCGGACAGCTTCTGAGGCCACTAACCTGCCTGTATGTGTGCAACACTGATATATATATATATATATATATATATATATACACACTCTTTCCTATTCGTTTAACAATATATATGTAAGATGGTAGAATCCTTTTGTGTGTGTTACATATATATTGTTAAATGAATAGGAAAGAGGCTCCAGAGATGCTTTTGGTTTTGCAGGACCTAAATATGTCTTGCAGGCATACAGCTCCTAACATCACTGCCATTCTTCAGCCAGTTTAAATCAATACTACATTATTGCATTTTTAACACATAGGCTGTGTCTCCTTTCATGGATTAAACCCAGGACACCAAGTAGAAGGACCTACGTTATTGAGTTATGCTCAGGTATGTGCATATAACCATGTAAATGTATTCTGTATTTGGTTGTGTACATATAAGGCAGGCATACATCTTTGGGCCTTGACTTAACTTTTAGCATAATTAGATGATTTTTATTAAAGCTATAGTATGTATGATAGGAGGAACAATATCACAAGGTTACAAATAAACATCCTAAAATGATTCATTTCTATGGTTTTATAACAGATGTATGTAACTACAAAATTATTCACTGACATTATCCTGTATGTTACCAATATTTTATTTATTTAGAGCCATAATGGATACTATAGATTCAAATAAATGATAGTTTTTTCCTAACATCTTACACTGTGTTTTATATAGAGAGTGATTTACATGAACTCTTTGGAGTGCAAGTATAATTATTGATTGATATGAAGGCGTAGGTTTGACAGAAGTAACAGCAGCGCCGGCGCAAAGAGGACTCAGTTTAGAGTCAGCCTTTGTTCTTGGGGTTTAATCAGATTTGGGCTCTTTGAATCACCCAAGTGAACCGTCCAGCCTGTGATCAGAGGGACTGTCGGCTTCTCTCAGAGAAAGAGAAGCCTTTGCCTCGCAGTCTACCACAGTTTTGGTATGCTGCAGCTCTCACTGAAACCACTTCACACAGTCACATGTGGTGAACTATGAAGTGGAAATAAGACCAACCACCCCGTGCGCTCTCTCAGCAGCATGTGAGGGAGGTGTATTGATTTGCGAGCTCTGTTGTTACATTGTACAAAAGAGAGAAGAACACATTACACAATGCCGTTCGGTGCTATTTTGATCCAGCTCCCTCTGAAAAGGCCTGTTTGGCTGAAAGGTTTCCGTGCTGGCTGTGACCAGCGTCACTCACTATCGCACCGAAAATAAAACCACTTGATTTCCTCCGTGCAGCCAGAACCTCTATAATGATGTAAACGATGATGACATGCACTGTTTTCTTAATGTGACAGTTGCAGAACCAGAAGCTGAGGTATGTGTGCCGCTGTGCTAAATGGGAAGCCCATTCATCATGGGAGACAGCAGACTCACACACACACAATCACGTAGCAAGCCTTGTGTACAGGAAGACAACAGAGAGTGTATAACTCAGTGACACTGGCCTTAGTTTATAGGATGACTTTGGCAAATGTGTTTCCAGTGCCTCTTATGGCTTTGTGATATATGAAAGGAGCAGCGGGTGGCCTATTGATGAAGGAGTTTATCTGTGGTGACAGTTATTGCAGGAAAGCTACATCTGAGTCAGGACACAGCATCTGACCTCATGACTCTTGAACCCCTCGCCCCCTCACCAAGGTAGATGATCACATTATCTAGAGTGAAATCAGTCACATGTTACATAACAGTGTCATATGAGAATAATTTGTCTTGTGACTGAAATCAAATAATGGTTTGCACGACCACAGGAAAGTGAAACTGCAGCTATTAAATCATTGATATATATATATATATATACATAAAGCTGTATATATAATTACTATTACTGCTAAAAGCCTGAGGAATGTATGCATAAAACATTGGTAAGAAAAGGAAATTGTTTGACAGTGTCCCCCTTTTCTCTAGAAAACTGTCTAAAAATGTATTTTTTTAAAAATCAGGGTTTACATTTTCTCTATTACTGAACCCAAAATAGCTTTCACATAAACAGTTTAACTACTGAACCCAATGCAGTGGAGTTAGTCTATCAGTGCAACAAGCATGTTTTGGGGGCCATCCCTCTGTGATATGCACAAATATTTGGGGGGTTTATTTATTTTTTGTTTTTTTAAAAAGCAGAGTGCTTAACTGACTCCAGATGATAGGCAATTGTTTCGAGATAGCATTTCTTTTTTTCTTGTGTCCCGTTTGGATCTTTAGCCATCAGAATTGTTGTCTTAAGGCCAAGATAGCATTTCTTCAACACATTCCCTCCTTTCTTCTCCTTAAGGAAGATTTTTACCTGCATGAACTGCTTTAAATGCTCTGTTTCTTTGCTGGTGTTTTTTCCTAGTTCACTCCTGTATTAGTAATCAGAGGGAAAATAGCTAATTTAGTTATTTCAGGCATCTTCAAAAACTCACTCAAACGTCTGTTTACAAAGGTCAGCCAATCAAAAGAACACTGGTTTAAGGGGGAGGGGGACCAGACTAGCTAAAACACTGAACTTGGACCACATGAAGCTGCCACCATAAGTGATCTTTTACCACATTTAGGTTTATCAGACGTTCTGTAGATGAACGTCAGAGTGGTACTTAGTGTTTAAAAGGCTCACAAACATCATTTTGCATGGTGAATGTTAAGCACCCGGTTAGTTGCAGAGACCTTTCCAAGAATAACCTTAGGGAATGAAAGCTTCATCAACGCAGCATTTAAACAAGACACCATCACAAAAGAAAGGAGATGCTGTTTTGCAGTAGTGACAATGAGAAGGAAGAAAGCAAGAGCTTTCTTCCATTAACAAAAGGGCAAACGTGTGGCTCTATTAGGAGCTGATGCAAAAGGAAAATGAAGCTGTGTGTAGGTAAAAAGCCACAAGCTGATTCAAACAATGTCACGAGACTAAAAAAGACAAATACACCAGAGGGTTTTAACTAGATTTATTGCATGATGCTAAGCTGACCTCAGATCAGTATGACAAACAGCATATGTGCACCTTGTCGCCCCAGGCCTCTTGTTTCCAGGCCAGGAGAAAGAGGAGGGGCGAGGGCACTCTCCTTGATCACGGCAGCTGCCGAGGCATGGTTGTTACATGCTTAACTATGACCGGGCTGGAGGGAGATGAACAAACCCAGCGGAAACAGACACCGTGTCAGGTTGTGTTAGGGTCACAGGTCCAGACTGGACATCACTTCCGCTTGACCGACATCCATCAGCTGTAATGAAACACCTTGAGAGCCTCCGACTGTTAAATCACTGTTAAAAACCTTGGCTAATAGGAGGCGTTGCTGACACGAGTAGTAAAGCAAAGGAGCGCCTTATAGACAACAGTTTCACACAGTTTTATATTTTGAGCAATTTGCTTGTTTAAGTTTATTCTTCAGTGACGCTGACCTTTGTAACCACAGACAAAGGTCAATAAGTAACAGATTACATCTTGTTTGATTCATTTGTGCAAAAGGTTGTGTTTTTTTAAGGAGCGTTTATGTTTTATTACTTAGTACTTACTGAGACTTCAGGAAGTTACTGACCCCAGTCAGGAAACTTTCCCAAACTTTTCCTAAAAAAAACCCCCAAACAAACCACAATCTTGTTCCCACATTTCAGCTTTCACATAAACTAAATTTGCCAAACTGAATGGAGTCAATCAGCAGCAGGTATACCAGCATGTTGCTGACTGACAGATAAGTAGTATTGATGTTTAGGTGTAATTGTATTTGCCCAGAAGAACTAGTAGAAGTACTGCTTTTACCTCTATGAAACAGCCTGGAGTAGCGACTCTTTTCTCATAGGCAAACGCCAAACCAAAGCACCAAAACAGAAGCGTGTTTTTGCAAACCAAAAAAGGATGACAGGCCTCGACATCGTCTTGCTTTAAAGCTGCTTGGACCAAATGTTGATCGTCTTGCTTTAAAGCTGCTTGGACCAAATGTTGATCTCTTTTTTTAAAAATTTTCCTCAGGATAGTAAACCTCTCTCCACTGCAGTGCACAGCTGACATAATCCCACACTGCACTTCAATCCTCTAACACAGCCTACAGGACTTATTTCCATAATATCAACACCCCCAATTTGGTGCGCTATTGTGTCAAACCCTTCAAACCATTAGTTAGCTTATAGCATTAAAGTGATCCAGAAGTGTTACAGCTAACTATTTTTTGTGCTCTTGTGTTAAAAAGTAAAAACAGTGTACAGCAGGTCACAAGCTCAAAGGCCTCAAAGGTAGAGCGCTGCCATGGAGACAGACTTGTGAGGAGATAATTAAAACAGTAGCACCTATGGGATCCCACCTGCAGGGCTGAGAGAAAGCTGTGTCTAATGCAACAACTCTTCAGAGAACTCGTGTGAAGTTAATCAAATTAAACATGAAAGCAGAGTCTGTAGGCAAGAAGTCAAACTGTATGGACCGTTGGTGCTGCAGCGTGCTCTGTCTTTATCGCACTGGTCCTCCGATAACGTGTTAAGAGTGACGAAACAAAAGAAAAACCTGCACGCAACAAATTCACCGACTACTGTGCGTTTGCTCAGGTGCACGAGTAAAGTGAAGTGAACAGGGTGACAAAACGATGCCAGCCGGAGCCTTTGAAACACAGAAAATCTTTATTCATGTGGCGTATGCTTCGTTCCGAGCGGTTCAGCAAATGAAGACATGTTGCACATGGACTCAAATTAGAGAGAGTACTCTGAGCAGCAAAAAAGGCTGGGATCACACCTTGAAATGCAGCACACACGCATACACAGGCACATCTAATTACAACAGTGCGAGAACACACGTGGGGGGTACTTGCATACTCCCCGCCAACCAACTCATCTCACCTCAGAAACTTGACATTTAAGGAAGGTGACAGTGCAGATGTTAAACAAACTGAATGAACAAGGACTAAACACTTAAATATAAAATGCTCTATGATTGTGTTTCTTCCACTACATGAAATCTCACAGGGAGATTTAAAAAAATACTTCAAAGGGAAACAGTGACCTGTTTTTCACACAGATGTTTCCTTCTACTGATAGATTGCTATCCACATATAATACAGAATAAGGCCCCTTCTTTCTTAATGGATGGACTGGCTTCAAACGTTGTGGCTCGCTTCTTGCTTTTTTGATTTTATGTAACCTCCGTAGACACAGACAAGACCGCAGCTCAGAACATGTCTGCTGTGTTTTCCACTTACAGTTACATAACTGTTTACTACACGGTGGCATTGACGAAAGCCAAAAACTTCTTAATATAACTGTCGCTTCTTGCCAAAATAGCATCAAAGGCTGGCAATAACTTTTAAAAAGGACAAAAAAAAAAACGACTCAGAGAAACACAGCTTGAGATTTACTTGGTAACATTCTCCTGTCCGAAATGGATAGGCAAATAAATAAAATAAATGAGGCAGTTAATATACAAACCATAAATTAAAGTACACCTTCAATAGCTGAAGAAGCCAATATGCAAGGCACAACAACTGGCTAAGATATTAATCAAGGGAAGCTGGAAAGATATTAGGCTCTCTTTCAAAAACATAATACAGAACAAATAATACAAAAGGGAATTTTAGCTGAATCCCGGCATTCTCAATTCACCCAACTCAAAAAATGCTTGAATTATAATTTTTCCCCCACTCACAGGGGTCCAAAGACCAGAATTTGTACACTGTTTGTTTAGAATCAGCTAACATAGTACATTACAATCCTAAATTAAGTGCCAAAACATAACATAAGAAGAGTGAGGAAGACCGGATCATCGGGATTCAGCTGTAAAACTGTGCTTTAGGGAACACAACAATAGTGTGCAAGGTTTCTACTCTGCAGTGTTATAAATCAATATTTAAACATTCAAATGTGTTATGCTTTACCGTCAGCTGGCTTTTTATTTTAACAATAAAGGAGTACACTAGTGAGTTATGTCATCTTACAACTGGATCGCATTTATTTCTTTCTAAACCTAGTTCTGCATTAAACAGAACGGGGAGATGGCCTCCTTGGGCAGCGCTGCAAGCTACTCCAGCATGGCTGCTTTTTTTCTTTTCGTTTTTCTTTTTTAATTGAGTTAAGGCTTTTAGAAAAAGAAAGGCATTTTCAGGGCGCCATCTGATCCAAGTTCCAGTGGTTTGGACTGAATGTTTTACTTCGGACGCCTCGGGATGTTACAGTAGAACTCTGTGCCGATCGTCTGAGTGTGGGGGACATATTCATGGTGCACAACGCTCATGACTGTGAAAGAAAGAAGAAATGAGCATGTTCTGGATGTCCTGCCTTAAGGCTCTGACAGGGTAAATTTTTCTTTTTCAGGCTGCCCTTTGCTCTCTGGGACATAGATCCAGTTCCCCAGTGCTGATCCCCCCACACTGTAACACAGTGTGGGGGGATCAAATGTTTACTTCCTCTATTTTCCCCGGTGAAAAGTAGTCGGACCACAAAGCAATGTAAAAACAGCAGGCACAGGGGATGTGGCTCAGAGCTGCACAAGGAGACGACCTTGATAAGTAAAAAGGCCAAATTTAAATCAAGTAGATTTCTGCCACTTATGGGCAGAGTTGTGAGGTTTCGTGACTGCAAAGCTGTCATCCCCAAATTCAGATAATCTTAACCAGAGTATGACATCATCAGGCTCCTGTCTTGATATCAAAAATCAGTGGCGTGCTCCTTTCAATGCTCTTAATAGCAGAAACATTTACAGCATGTCAGTAGTAACATTTTGTAAACTTTGGACTGTCTTGGTCACTGGCCAAAGACATTAGGGTTCAAATGTGCGTTTTAACAATATACTGATTTCATACTTCACAAAGGCTATTTATGGATGCTGGAAGCAGTTAATAATATCCATTTGTCTACTACTTTTAAATGTAGAAATAAAAACTCTACTGGAGGTCTGCAACTATGTATCGTCATATATTACAATCTTTATTCAGCTGCTGAAAAGTTACTCAGGGACTACAGCTGAAAAGTAGCTTTTAGCTATATCCGGTACAATATATTTATTGTGCATCGTCCCTGCTAAATAAGCTAAATAAATTAAAAAAAATATACCTCTAAGGCAGAATCAGGCACTAAGTAATTAGACTGTGGCTTGGTTTAATGTCAAGGGCTATCTAAATTTAACCAATTAGCTAGCCTCCTGATATGTACCTCAACATTTTCATACAAATGTGTAAACATTCAGTGATATTGCACTCAAGCAGTGTACTTCCATACAGAAAGAGATGTCAGTACACATGTTTTTGTACACATAAAGTGCTCTGATGTTAAAAAAAATAAAAAAAAACACTAATAATAATCGAGCGGGAAAAAGGTGTCTCACCATTCATGTGTCACATTTGAGACAAAAATTCAGCTCCCACAGTTTTGCCTGTAAGCTATGAACAGTATTGCAAACGAGCTACTTTGAAGCAAAAATAATGCATCCAAATGCTGTGTTTTGGTTTCAGTGTTTATATCCAGAAAACGTCAGTTAAACAATTTTCCCATGTTCTCGTGCCTGCAAAAACAAACAAAAAAAGAGAGAGAGAAAAGGATAAAAATTACCAACTGCAACTTTCTGTATTTTACATTTACTGTATTTTCTCATTCCCTCCTCAGTATGAACGATCACACATTATCTGTTCAGGTGGAAGATGAAATGAAAAACCATTCTCACGAGACTATTTCTCCTGTACTCCATCAAGACGCAGAGGGGCTGAATTAAAATTGGATAATACGCAGCTGCAGTGCAGATATATTGCTCTCCTCATCCTTTTAAATCCCCATCCATTTGCACGTCCCTCCATTTGCACATCTATTGATTCTCACACTGACCTTGTCACTGCTGGTGGAGTGTGTTGGGTGTGTTTCTCCAGACTCCAGGCTCAGAACAGACAGACCAGAGTCTATCAGCTCTTCTGTGAAAACAAAAGCACGGTTAGTTTACTTGGAACATCCACACATGCAGCCAGGAGAAAAATAAATAAATAAAATCAGGCTCGCTGAAGTTCAGGCGTACCCGTGTTTGTGTTGCTGATGTTGCACTTGGGAAGTTCCACAGGCTGGATCTCATGTAGAGGGGTGCAGGCTTTTTCAGCAGGGGGGGAGCTGGGAGCTGTGGGTGGGCTGCTGTCCTTTTTAGTGCAATCAGTTTCAGATCCCTGCTGCTGTGCAGAAGAAGGTGCAGCTGGCCCACCTCCTTTATCCTGAAGACTCCCATCATCCTGCTTGGCACTTTCAAGAGGCTGACGTGGCCTCTGCATTTCATGCTTGTTCTTTTTAGGTGAGGAAGCTTTCAAAGAGCTGGGACCTCTGGATTCGGACTCTTGAGACCCCGTGGTTTGCCTTGCATGAGCCCCCTGGATGAGTTCCTCAGAGAAGCGCACTTTCTTCTCCAAACCCCGAGAGGACGAAGCCTCTGCCTTCTCCTGAGTCGGGGTGTCCTCTCTAAGGATAGCAGCCGACACCGAGGCTGCTGATTCACTCGCTTCCTCGGGCGTGCTCAGTGAATCCGGGCTCGGTGACTGCTTTGTTTTTGCGTCCTGATCTTTCAGCTCATCTGCATTAGCGTCTGTGAGGGCATCAAGTTCCTCAAGGAATTCCTCCAGCGTCGTCTCAGGCATCTAAAAGATGAGATCAAAGCGACAAACAGGAGTGTTTCTTGCTAAATGGATGTCTTTTATTATTCACTTTATAGCAGGGTCAAAAGAGGTTTCACCTCTCACCTGCAGGCTCTCTCCATCATCATTTGCCTGCCATCTGAAAAAAGGGTATTCAGAAACAAAAAAGCAGTGTGTTGTGAATCTCTTTTTCTTTGCAAGTTATAGCATGCTGCAATATTGTATATAACAATCAGCAACAAGAGTAAATAACACAGATCATTTTATTACAATGCAACGTTCAGCTGGCAAAGTTTAGGTCCTGGCATTCGTGTGGTACTTTGACACATACCGCCCACTTAAACAATACCGCAGAAGAAGCACACCCCCACAAGCTTTCTACAATGGCACCACAGCATCTCACCCTTAGCAGGACAACATGTCACACCACAAAGCAAAAACAGTTCAGGACTAGTTTTTTTCTTTGACATTAAAAGAGCACAAAGCTCTCAGTTAGCCTTCAAATGGTCTGACTGAGCATCTGTGGGATGTGCAGCAATAAGCCCTATTTACAGGTCGCCCTCAGAGATTCCACGTGTATAACCTAATGGGTCAGACGAGACTGCTGCAGGCCATTTCAGTGTTATAACAGCATTTGCTTCTCAGTCACATACTTGCTCAAAAACCAATGACTACACCATGAAAGGTGATGACCACTGGGAGTCATATCAGGTGATTGTCCAAGGACATGTGGAAAGCAAGAGCTGTGATTTGAGGTTGGGGCTCAGCCTTCCGAGGCACAGACACACACCGGTCTCAGTTGTTGTGATTGTAATGGCTTTTCATGCATGAACTCCAGACAGTGTCAAGAGACTCAGGCTGGGACACTGTCCTCAGTTGCCCTTTGTCACATGTAGACTCAGTACTGGATATTGTGTGTTTTAGGTAAGGGTGCTGTCTGGGTAGAGCATGCAGCAGAGCACGAGATGACCACTTGCTAGCTGTGAATTTAGCCAATTATTACATTTTCCCTTTTTTCCTCACATCAGCGATAGGAAATCGCACCAACTTTGTACTAAGGAACTGGTGAGCTAAAGACTGTTTAACACTGTTTCATGTTTAATTCAGCTACATCAGACATTAAAGTTCTGACACGCACCTCCATTTGGATAATATCCAGAAACATCGAGAGCTGCAGTGTATGTGTGAAAATGGCTTTGGTGGCCTGTGGGCTGCCTTTGCCCACACTCAAATCTGTTGCCAACTGTAACAGCAGCACAGCCTGATAACAGGAATCTCACACCCGAGTGCTGTTTTACAGAGCTCCCCCCCAAGTCCTTACCCTTACCTACTTTTACAGAGACATAAAATAATCTTTCTCACTCCAAGTCCACACAGTGCCTCAATTTCAGCTCTGTGGCTGTGGAATTTTTTGGACATTATGATTGCATTACAGCGCACCTATGGCCTTTTCCACCAGCACCTAGGTTCAAGGTTCAAGGTTCTTTATTATTTATACCATCTATTTAGACCATCTTTATTATTCACCTACTCAGATCGGCTCAGCTTGGTTTTTAGGGTTTTCTCATTAGGTGTAGTACTTAGTACCAGGTACTTGTTTAGTACTTGATGGGGTTCTAAGCAAACTGAGATGACCCCAAAATGTGATGTCAACGGGCTGCATGCTCCAGATTGGCTAGACGGCCTGCTCACCATCAAGTGGTGTTTCACAGCAGAGGAGAAACTGTGGAGGGGGGGACAGAATGCGACCTTCTGGGTTATTTAGTCAGCTGCCACCACTTCTAAATTAAGTCTCATGACATCCAGGGGAATTTGTACATTAGGGCACAGTGCAGAAAAACAGCATGTCTTTCCACATCCGTTTTACGTACTGCATTAGTCATGCCGATGTTTCTCGTAACCGCTAATTGAAGCTATGTTGAAAAACGCTCTGATGGTTGAATCACCTTTGCCAGCAGCCCGTTGTGTTTAGCTGTTACTGACCTTCTGGCCCGCCCAGTCAGGCGATCTTTGCCTTTTGCTTTACTGCTCATCACTTGCACGTTTTTAGCTCCCTTGTCTTTGCCTCGCTTGTCATGAGCTAGGTCAGAAAAATACCAAAAGTTTAAAAGTCTAAACACTATAGGAGTATTTTATGGGATTTAACTGTTCACTAAATTATGTGGGGAATACCTTTTGAATCGCTGCCTGCCCTGGGTCCTCTTCTAGCATTTCTTCCTCCTGCAGCAATGTGATATGTCTTTTTTATGATTTGTTATGAAGCGTCTTACTCCTTACCTTCTCAGTAAGGTCTGTGTCTTTTGTCTTACCTCTGCTGGAAGGCCCCCATTCTCTGTCAGAGAGGGATTTGTCTGAAAACCTAGAAGCAGAGGTTTAGTATTAGACAGTAACAAAACCCAGTGTGACTAATATCTCTATCATGTTCCAAAATCATTCATCTTTTCCCCCCTCAGGCACTATAACATCTCATCTGCACAACATAAACGGACATTTCAGTATATCACCCACCATCATTGTGGGCCTGGAGTTTAAGATTGTGCAGAGATTCCATTCCTAGATTCAACATCCTCTGAAACCGCATAAATTGTCGAATCAAAAACACATTTCCTCTTCTGTTCTTTCTCGGGAGCCTTGTTAATGCTTCGCCAAATAAGGCAAGGCATTTCCATCCCTTACCCCCCAGCTAAAAATAGCTGCTCTTTCCTTGTGCCTTTACATTTGGATACTACCCTAAACAGCACATTAATTTACTCTGCAACTTGGTCAGTCTTTGTACAGCCACAGCTCAGTTTGTTTGAAATCTAACAAACAGTTCACAATAAACGAGTCGTATTTCTTTCCCGCGGTCAGTTTGGGGTGCTATCGTGTGATTTCCCCCACCAATGCGGGCAGCAGCCTGCAACGCTGTATGAAATGTAGCTCATGAACTCCTTCACATGAAAAAAGTTATATTAGGCATAGATAAGTAACTGTTTGGTAATGTTTTAGCTGTGCAACATCGTCCTGTGACTTGGTGACAATCAGCCTTGCAATCATGTGTTAGAACATGCACAACATCCAGAAACCTCATCTAATGGATTCTTCACTGAATAATTTAACTACAAAGAGGCACAATGTTCTCCGAGGTTATTTTCTCCTCTTCATCTGCCTAAGTGAAGTGAGCCTTTCAGTGAAGGAAGAATTTAAAAGTGAAAAGGGGAAATCTACAAAACTAATAACTTAAAAAAAAAAAAAAAAAAAAAAAGGCCTTAGTGCTAATAAGACCATTTTTAGCCTGCATGGTACTGCATACTGAAAATATCTTAGTACTGAAAAAGCCTTCTCTTAAAAGTGACAGTCCACTGTTCGACCTCCAAACCCAACATGGACTTTTTTGTTCTTTAAAGGAATTTATACTGCTTACTTGACCTCCATTTCATTATACATGTTACCCCTAGACTCTCTTTACAAAGCATAATGTTTCTTCCTGTTAAAAGGGAGTTTTTTCTTCCCACTGTTGCCAAGTATTTGCTCATAGTGGGTGGTCTGACTGTTGGGGTTCTCTTTGTTGTTGTGATTTGGTGCTATATAAATAAAATTCAATTAAGTTGAATTGTTTGGACAATCTAAAATCCTGGAGTCGTGGCAACATTTTCAACTAAATGACAGCAAAACTTTATTTGGCTTATCAAGCGCTATAATTAAACTATAACTTAAAATCCTGGATAGTTCAGCCTCTAACAAACAAAGAAGTAGTTTTGTGAACAGCAGCTTTAAACCATCACAGAATTACAGATATAGAAACAGTTATCCACGACTCAATCACCTCCCAGTTGGATTATTGTAACTCCCCATTTATAGGATTACCCAATTCTAGTCTTTTTCAGTCACAGATGGTTCAAAATGCAGCTACTCATCCTGTAAATCAGGTGTCTCCAACTCCAGTCCTCGAGAGCCACTGTCCTGCAGCTTTTAGATGCATCCCTACTCCAGCACAGCTGAATCAAATGGTGGAATTACTTCTTCAGCAATCAAGTTTAGCAAAGGCCTGGTAACAAGCCATTCATTTAATTCAGGTGTGCTAGAACAAAGATGCATCTGAAAATCAGCTCCACAGTATTTCACTGATCTCTGAACTTCATATTTTGCCATATTTTGGTTTAAAAGGTTATTATTTTATTCCTTTTTTAGTCCTTCAGCTTTAACAACTATAGCCAATGGGAATATGAATGTAAACCTTTAACTCTTTAAAAAGTCTTACATATTGTCAGTTTTATCCATGTCCCACGCTCGTCTCCACTGGCCCTTAGCATTTTTATGGCGTGCCACCCTCTCCCTGTCAATCTGCTCACGCTCCTTCTTCCACCTTAAATATTCCTCCTGCTCCTCTCTCGATGTGGGGACGTTGAGGTCTGTGATGGCCTGCAGGTTCTCGATATCCTATGCGCATGCAAAAGACAGCATTTCAGTGTATAAAGTTATAATAATGGATACATATACAGATCTGTGGGAACCACAAATGTGTGTATTTCTGCTACGTTGATGTATTTTGCATAACTTTAAGTGCTAACCACTGCCTCCCTGGGTAAATACCGATCAGTGTTCCAGGAAAAGTACAGTTTATAGCAAATACAATTAGAAGCTCTTCCTCCATTCCCCTCTTAACCTATTTATTGATTACTGTGATGAGAGCAGAGAGGATTGCTGGCTAATAGTAAAAGGAGATCTGATACAGGCTCATTAACACATCAGAAAGGGCAGAAGCTGCTTGTGTTATAAAGCCTTCAAGCAAACCAAGACTAGAGATGTCACGAAAAAGACCAGCAGTTTCTGAGAGAGCGTGCTGATGTCTAGAAAAAAAATACATTTGTTGGATTTCTGAGTACCAGGAATGACCATAAAAATCTGTATTGAAGCTCAAAGCAGCAGCTAAAACCGTGAGAGAAAAAGAGATGCAACACAGTGCTGGTAAGAAGCTATGACAGGTCATGTTTTCCCCTCAGGTGAGGGCCAATCAAATCGAAGTAAACATGTTGCCCTCCTGCCTACACTTATTGGAGAACATGGCATCTGTCCTCATCCTGTTTTCCACCTCGTCTCTCCTTGCTCTGCGCTGGCCCTCAGAGGACATCAGGGGTCACACGGGAAGACGGTTTTCACATGTTCCAACAGGCCATGATCTGCTGCCGCCCCAGCTGCTAATTAAAATTTTTTTTTATTTTTTGCCTCTGTGGGGACTCAATGGGATGTTGCCAGGAGCCAAAGAAAGCATGTTGGATATTACAAAGTGAACCTGGCCAGTTGCTGAGATCATAATCTTACTCTCAGTGACAGTTGAGCTTCCAAAAGCTGCACTGATTTAGGTCCATATGGTATATTTGTTACACAAAAGTGTAACACACTTTACAACATGATGAGAAAAAAAAATCTACATGGTATTTCCTTGAAATCTGTGTAGGCCAGGACTGCAGCAGCCAGAGAGGCATGAACAGCATCACTTGTCATGTGGAGAATCCGCCGTGCCTTTGAAGCCAATCCTTCCTGCCTCCCCAGTCAGGCTGCTTATCGCACACCAGATCTGTGAGACAGCTCTGAGCTACTCCAGCAAGGCTGACATGCAAGCCAGCGGGAGGCAGATGGGAAGAAGCGCTAGGAAAAGGGGCACGTGCATGGCAACGTGTTGTGCTGTCTGCATGTGTTTGTGATGTGGACAGAGCGCATATTTGCATTTGCTATTCTCTGTGCTTTGTATGCTAACGTAGTGTTGGTGAAAACCTTGTTTTCACTGACTGATCATCAGCAAATTACGTGGTCACGATGAGCTGAAACTGCAGTCCTTTGAGCTGAGAGAGGTTAGACACACAGCATCTAAATGTTTACATCTGTGTATGAGGGTTTTTTTAATTTACCTGGCATTGCTCTGACACCCCGTGATGCTCCTCAGTGTGCTTCTGCCCCTGTTTGACCTCATCCTGTCAGAGAGGAGAAGTTAAAAGATGAGCTTAGCAGTTATAAGTGTGACACAGCAACTTGTTGCTCGCTAATTAAACACTGTTGTAAAGAATCGCTTTGCTGCTGTCACAATCAGGCCACTGACTCATCCATTAGGAAGGACTGAGAGGTCTAGACTGCCACCCAGTGGTCTTAAAGTGTAATGGCACAACTTGGCACAACAGCTTCAATTATAATGTAATTTCTGTCCACTCTGCACAGGGGCAGACTGCAGTTAGCAGGTAGCTGACCTTGGAAACCACCTGGCGGTTTGCAAATCAAACACAGCTTATTAGAGGTACAGAATTGTGCTAATTTCTATTCTGGTGTAGTTCTGATTTCAATGATGCGCTCTGGTGAACACAGAGGATGAGTCATGTTGCTATTAACAGCAACACTCTAACAGCTGAGGGAGGATGGGGGACAATAGGCACCGGGGAGAGCGAGTGGGCTGGTAACACACCTACGGGCTGGGACGCCCACACGATCATTCACACGCCCACATCCAGAGAGAGTATAGCTCACACATACACAAAGACCCCCGGGTACCTCTTTTCTCTCCCATCCCACTACTCAGTCTTCCTCTCCCTTTTTCTTGGCACCTTGCCAGGTCTGTCTCTTCGCATAATGAGCCTTTTCAGAGTGAGAAGGCAGTTGAATGTTAATTAGATCAAATCGGCCCTTTCAGGATGGTGGGAATAGGGAAACAATCGTGCCAGAGGAGTGTGGACCACTTAAAGTTTCAGGAAAAAGAAATGAGGGGAGATTGAAACAGATGGCACGGTTGCCAAGCGTCTCTCTCTCTCTCACCCTCCCCTCTGTTCCTCTCCATCCGACTGCATTTCCTTACCCCTGTCACTCTCTCTCTCTCGTGAGCGTGAGCAGTCTGGTCATGAGGTTCCTCCAGGCTGCATGAGACACCGCTGCACAGCCACACCCCTGTCTTTAGAGTCATTATTTATTTCCAGGGTGTCTCTCGCTCTGTCGCACACACACACACACATACCCATCAGATAATTATTTTAGAGACAGGGCAGTGCAGGAGCAATGTGCACCTCAGCGTGAACCAACGCAAATATTTTTTTAAAGCTTGCCAGATGGATCCATGGTATGTTCTCCTACGGTATCACCCTTTAGCAGCTTTCTCCCCCGCTGCTCTCATATAAACCTAGTGAAATGACACAGGTTACGTAAACCAGGTCTCTGGGATTCACAGATGACTGGTGCACTGGAGCCCTGGCTACTGTTCAAGTGCTGATTCAGTCCACATGATAAATGGGGGGGGCAGAGACCTAGTGGGCCAGAAATAAAGGCAAAAAGAACAATGTGTTCAGCCCATAGATTCAGTGCACATTAACCCAGACGCCCAGTGAGCAGCACTTAGTGTATCGGCCAATCGGTAGCAGAGATGCACATTTTAGACTGAACCTGTACTTCTGTAACTCCTGCTTTCATGTCCCCT